CCAAGATGAACATGAGTCGTTAGTGTGACGAAGTCATCAGCAAAGCTAACTGCACTTTATCGTGCATCAGCAGATGCATGACAAACAACCAAGGAGGTGATACTTCCCTTCTATCAGGCATTGCTCAGATTGCAGTTGGAACACTGCATCCAGTTTTGGGCGCCACACTTTAAGAGGGATGTGGATAACCTGGAGAGGGTCCAGAGAAGGGCCATGTGTATGGTTAAGGGCTTGCAGGCCAAGCCCTACGAAGAGAGACTAGAGCACCTGGACCTCTTCAGCCTCTGCAAGAGAAGGTTGAGAGGCGACTTTGTGGCTGCCTATAAATTCATCATGGGGGTGCAGAAGGGAATTGGTGAAGCTCTACTCACCAAGGCCCCCCTGGGAGTTAGAAGAAATAATGGTCATAAGCTATCAGAGAGCAGATTTAGACTGGACATTAGGAAGAACTTCTTTACAGTTAGAGTGGCCAAAATCTGGAATGGGTTCCCAAGGGAGGTGGTGCTGTCCCCTACCCTGGGGGTCTTCAAGAGGAGGTTAGGTAGGCATCTGACTGGGGTCATCTGAACCCAACACACTTTCCTGCCTATGCAGGGGGTCGAACTTGATGATCTATTGAGGTCCCTTTTGACCCTAACATCCATGAATCTATGAAGTGTTCTTTGTGGGAAGAATTTAAATTAGCCATGGCTAAATCACTAGACTTGTGTAAATAGGGAAGTATTCAATTTGGATTCAGATTTGGCTGATTCAGAGGACAGTGATTTGATTCAGAGATTCGGGTCACTGTCCTGAATCGATTTGGTTAAATCAACTTTGGAAGATTTGGTGCTGATTCAGAGAGATTCGCTGATTCAGATCGGCCAGGAGAGGCAGGGACAGCCAGGTGGTTGCAGGTTCTTCTGCAGCTTCTCCAGCTGTGCCTGCCTGTCCCCGGGCAGTGGGAGCTGTGGGAGAAGCCCCCATGGCTGCCCTGCCTGGCCCCAGCAAAATACTCATTGGTGCCAGTAGTGGTAGAACTGGGCCAGGTATATGCTTATATAATTAAAAAAACACAAAGACCCATATGAATTTATGTTCAGACTTAGACTAATACCAAGCATTAAATGAAGTTAGTATTGAACAAATCTGTGGCTGTTTACATTGTTAGTGTGTCCAGAGTTCACACACTTCTTAAGTATTTATCTTTTGCATAAATGAACATATCTTGTATGTAACCATTAGGGTAAAAGCAGCCTATAAGATAGATACATAAGTATTTTATCTTTCAGGCTTATTAAGACACATTTCATCTTATTTTCTTTATTAGAAAAAGGCTAACTGGCAATTATATAACTGGACATGAGTGTCAATATGATAAATTCTGACTATTTTTTCCTATGCTTCTGTATTGCATATATTGCATATCTGCATGGGCATTTTTGGGTGGTGATGATTCTTTTTCTAAGTATTCAATAAACGGCCAGAAAAGATTAGGATTTTTTCTTTCTTTCTTTTTATTTTTTTGCCTTTGGGTTCCTTCCTGGGACTCTTACTTTCCTCAGATTGCAGGTTTGATATGCTAATTTGTTTCTGCTCTTGGATTTCTTTGGGCAATTTACCCTTCTTTGGAGAAACATTCCCACTATTGGGTCTGTGTAAGCTTTTAGCAGTTGTAAAGACATGCAGCTTCAGGAGCCCATCCCTGCACTCAACAGTAAAACTGTGGTCTAAGTCTATAACAGAAAAAAACCCTCCATCATTAATCTTGCTGAAACAGGGCCAGAGAAATTCCAAAATACCATAAACAAACAGGTGGCTAAGGAGATGGAAAGATATATTCCCATGAGCCCAGGGCTATATGACTCAATCCCCGGTTTTAAAATGGAGATATTGGACCAAAATATCTCCTGTTACACAAATGCAATCTCACTTCATCAGACTATAATAGAATAACCCACAGGAGCATATAGTCCATGAATAACTTGTATTGTAGGTGCTGAAGATAGTTGGGCTTAACTGATTGTGTTTTTGAAATATTTTTCTATACCTCCACATTTCTGATTATAGGTCATTTACAATATCCTGTCGGTCACTGTAGTCAGTTTCCTTTTATTTAAATAATGCTAGGAACTTTAGTAGATAATATCAAGTGTTTTTGAATATATTGGCATATACTGTAAAATATAAATGATACCAATTACAATTTTTTTTGAAAGAGAGGAAAGGAGCATCTTTTCTATATTGTAGTCAGAGTTGGTTTATACTACACATCATTAAGGTTGCTGGAGACATCTTATTATAAGAACTGTTTCAAGGGCCTGAAATGGAACCCAACATTTCTGAGTCCTACCATTCCTCTTCTGGCAGCAAATATCTGTGACTCTCCATCTAGGGCTGTGCCACATAGATACTGCTATCAGTTGTTCTGCCAGCTTAATTGGTAGAGATCTGTGTGGGTAAAACTAACATTTTCAGTCCTTCAGTTGGTAGACATCAATGTGGGTCTCACTATGATAGTGCATGAGGGGATCTCTGGTGTTTTTTCAGTTTGCTTTTTACAGATCTGGAAACACCACCAAATAAAACAAATAAGCAAATTAACAAAATCACATCACATAAAATTAAAAGAACCATATTAAGATTGCAAGCACTTAGAAAATAAGAAATATCTGTGCAACCTAAAATCAGCTTTTAGACAAAAAAAAAGTCAAAACCATACCTAGCTGTATTATCAGGAGCATCACCTTTTAGTTCAGGGAAGTGATTCTTCTACTCTGTTCCGCATGGATGAGGCTGCATCTGAAGTGCTGTGACTGATATTGGGCCTCACATTTCAAAAAAGATGTGAACACATTAGAAAAAGGCCAGGGGAGAGCAACAAAAACGATTAGGATGGTTTAGGAAACATGATTTACAAGAAAAGTTTGGAAGATTTGGGATTGCTTAGTCTGGAAAAGAGATGACTAAGGGGGGATTTGGTAACCGTCTTTAAATACCTGAAAGACAATTATAAAGAGAAGGGCAATATTTTTTGTGGCCACCAGGGCTGGAGAAGAAAGAATAATCTTAAACTGAAATCTGGGAAATTTAGAATGGATATTAGAACTTTTTTAACTTTGAGGATTATTAAGCATTAGAACAGATTACCTATACAGGTTACAGAATCTCCATTTGTGGAATTTTTTAAAGAGAAGATTAGACAAACATTTAGATGAAATGATTTGGATAGGGATAATGAGACTTTATAGCATCATTAAACATTTGATTACATACACTGATCGTTGCTTGAGTTGGTGAACAGAATGACCTGTTCCAAGTATGAATGAGAGTTATGTGTAAAGTGTGTTGGACTCCTGCTTATTTGTTGCAGAAGTTGGAAGGTGTGCATTGAATGAAATGGTGGATTCCAAGAGAAGGAAAAATTTAATAAAAATGGCAGTTTAAGGTTGCTTTAAAGAATTGCAGTTTGGCCATGGAAGTGCCACAGAGTTTCTGGGTGACATTAAGCAGCTCTCATAAACTTTCTACAGCTGGTCACTAATAATGTGGCCTCATTTTTTGTGGTCAATCTCCGTTCTGTGCCTGATTTGCAGACTTGCTGATCGTTTATACCTGCAGCTGAAATCACTGAGAGTAATGCTTGAATAGCTGAAGAGTTATATAATGCTGTGAACTCTTTAAAAAAATCAGTTTGAAGCATCTCCAATTGATAGATGCCTTTCACCTTAATCTGTGCTGAATTCCTCCTGTGTAAAACAGTGAGAAGACCCCCTTCTCACCTCAGAGGGGTTGTGAAGATAAATTAAACAGTGTCTGTGACACTCTTATGTACTGTAGTGTTAAGTCTCAAAGAAAAGCCTATGGGGAAATTACACTGTATTACTATCAGGGTTGGAATAGTGTGCACTAATTGGAACTTGGGGTCATACATTGAACAGTAATATTGAAATAAAATGTTGAATAGCAGGTCTCTAACTAATCAATCTATCCTACATACTGAATGAAGTAGGGATCTGCTGGGAAAAATATTATGTGATCCTGTAATTCAGGTGTGTCAAACTTATCTAGCCCTGTAGGCCAGATGAGTGGCATGGGGCGGGTCTGCAGGCTGGACCCGCCCTCTTCCCCTTCTCATTTTCCCCAACATACTGGATCCAGCACCTGCTCCAGCCAGTCTGAGACCCACACAGCAGATCCTAAAGTGGTTGGAATGGATGCTGCATGCAGAGTAGTCTGGCCAGGGGTGTGTAGCATGAATCCCATACTTGCTGGATTGGGCACCACCCTGCACATGATACATGCTCTGGCCAGACTGCACCACAGGCAGATCCTACTGTGAGAATCACGCCACACACAGTGCACACTCCAGCTGGTCCGGGACTTGCACTGCACATGACACTCACAGGGCCACATGCAGCTTGGGTCCCAGACTGCCTGGAGTAGGGTCTGCATGCAGCACAGTTCTAGAGCTCCAGGAAGTCAGGGGCAGTCACTGTGTGGGGCACACATCCTAGAATGGGTACTACATGTGCACAGTCTGGCTTGGTCAGGCGCCACGTGTACTGCTTCTGGAATCCACCTATATCTGCCCAGCTGGACTATGCTGCACGCAGAGCCTGGTCTTGCCACTCTGGGATCTGTCACATGTGTCCTCCCATCTGGCACAGTTCTGGAACAGCTGGGGCAGGTACCACATGTGGCATGCATCCCAGGCCACCTTCTTGCAGGGCTGGTCTGGCATGTGCCATGCCCTGTGTAGGTCTGCTAAGACCCAGGGGAAGCACCAGGGGACTGGATGGCAGGGCTTTATGTTTGATACTCCTGTTGTAATTAAAGTGGCCATTAGATTATGATAAAATTGGGATTTGATGGACTTTAAGATGTGTATATGTTAATAAAGTTCTAAAATTTAAAATGTGTCTTAAATAATAACCTCTTGTTATTGTTTATTAATTTACTATTAGAATTAAAGGAATGAAATGTGGATTATGTTTTAATAAATGTTTTTTCTTTTATAGCTTGCTTTCATAAATTCTTCAGGAGCCTGTGCATGGTGATGAACTGTACAGGTAAGGAAAAATACACAAAATAAAATTTGCTGATGAAAATGTTGTAAACATACCTAGTTTTTGAGGGATTGGTGTTTCTCCAAATATTACCTGTAGAAACTTTACAAAAGCTATTGTGAAAACAGTGAAAATGCTGAAGTCAGTTTGTAACTTAAAACTGAATATCTGAAGAGAATATTCTAGTTGGAAATAGAGTGTATTCTTCCTATGCTTATATATACTTATTCTTTCTCTCCATTCTTTTGTGTAGCCCTATTTTCATTTCCTTACAGTCTGTGCAGGTATTTTTATTTTTTCCCCAAAATTTTGATAGCTGCTACCATTTGTGTTGTCTGCTGTCAGTCTCTGTATCTGTACTGGGATATGAATATCTCAGGTAGGGTTCCCTATTGATAAGCCCACAGGCAGTATTTCAGTACCATGAAACTAACACAACTCCTGAGGGCAAGGGGAAAGTGGAACAAATGCGGTAAACTAACAGTAGATTGACTGTTTACAAATATTATTTATTGAATTGTAATCAATATGTAAAGTTATGGCTTTGCTTCGTCTGAAAATAAGCATGTTTTAAGTAACCAGGATAGAGCACCAGCTTCTAAAGTCTCTTAGCATACCTGTAATGGGAAGTTGACTCATACTACAGCTTTCAATATTGCCTCTTTCATTCCTGTATGCCTGTCCCATTGTTTGGTAAAATTAGATATGGGTCCAGTAAAGCTTTTAATTCTTTGTTTTTTCATTGTTGTGCATGTTCATGATGAAGCTGCACATAATCTCATGCATGCGATATAGTCCTAATGATGCACCCTCTAGTTTTGTGATTCAGTTTCTGAAATTCTAAGCACTAGTCTTCTTGAGTGGGTTTATTAATTGTTGGAAGAGAAGAAAGCAGAGAGATACAGATGGAATTTGTTCTTTCATAAACTATTTTTGCTTACAATGGGCAAGTCTACATGTTCATTAATGTGTCATAGGTATAGCACATTAAGTTTAGTACCTGTAATAATAGGTACTAACTGAATGCACAGTAACTGGCACTACTGTGCAGTAGCTCCGGCGCACGCCTTTTTAGTGACGCTAATGTGAAGTAGACTGATTCTACTGTGCATTAGTGCAATAGCATGGCTTTTGCCATGACATGCTAATACACAGTAGAATTAGTCTACTGCACACTTAGCACCTTGTGTAGACATGCCTAGTGTGTACATAGGTATGCCTCGGAGCTCCCTGAAGTCAGGAGAACCCTTTTCCATGATTTGGGTGGACATAGAGCCAAAAGAAAAAAATCCTCCAATTTTAGAATCCATTTGCTAAGCAAAACATGTAACAAGGCCTAACAGATCACTTTGAGACCTAGGACAGGTTGGGATCTAAATCTATGTCTAGGACAGGTTGGGATCTAAATCCAAATAATAACAATACCACCAACTCAGAGAGTTTACAGCCTAATACATGAAGTGCCCAGGGGAGGCCTATAAGTAATTACTCTTTTAATGATTTTTTTCTCCTTTCCTTCTTACAAAGGTTAGGAGTCATTTGGCATTTATAGGCATTCTTCCAGTAGAAATGTATTTACTCTTTCTCCTGCAGAAAACATAACATAACAAAACATAACAGAGACTCTCTTGTGAGAATGAATGGTTGTCTGCTCCCCTCCCAGTCTGTTCCAGGAAGTGGATAGAGCCATGAAGTAATGCTCCCCACCTCTTTTCCAGCCTGGTTCTGGTTCTGGTTTGAGGAACATGCTAGGGGCTGTGGCCTGCTGCTCCCCTCCCATTCCAGACCAGTCTGGGAGTCCTGGAGCAGCAGGGTAAATCCCCCATACCCACTCCTCAGACAAATCTCCTTTGTCTGAGGAGTGGGGACAGAGTTTGACAGGCTGCTCCCTCTGCTTTTCTCTTGTCAGTGTGGACCAGTGGAAGAACAGTTGATTCTTGCTCTCTGCCCACTGCTTAGTCTGGGGTCTGCTCCACCGTTCCTACTGTGGGTGGCATTTAAAGCCTTTGATGTTGGGAACTAGGGGATCCAGGGAGAACTTTCCTTGCCATGGTTACTGGCTCTGCAGGCTTTAATTTATAGATGTGCTGAGCAACTGGGTGTCATACAGGGTGATTTAAAAGCCAGGGGGTTACCTCTTGACAGCTTATCCCATACCCAGGCAAGAGAGAGGACAGGCTATCAAGTAATAGGCTCCCCTAAAGGAATGGGCAGTCCAGGGAGCAACCTTCCACTGTCTCCTAGATGGAGAGTTCACCTGTGGACCTCTCCAGCCAGGAGGTTGGAATACACATATGCTCATACTGCAACATTGTTTTTATATTTGTAAGACTATCTCAGAAATTCTTGCCAGTAGACTGAATGTCAGTCTATTGCCATTGTCTGCCACCTTTAAGAATGCAGCAGACTTAAATTTCTATAAGGCTGTGTGTAGACAAAATGAGGGGTGTGTGTGCATGACACTTTAAAGCGAGTTAAATGCTTTTGCACCACTTTAATGGTGTTGGTGTTTTCACGCATTGTATCACGCAGTAATTCCAGTTGCTGTAGGAAATTCAGCAACGTAATGTGCCTTAAATGACTTGGAGCACAGCAAACTAAAACTCCTCCAGGGAGGGAATTAAACCCCTCAACCCCTCCCTGGCCAATTCAGCTGGGACTGGCCGTGCCTCCCCCCTCCAGGGAGTTTTAGTTTGCTGCCCTACAGCTGTGCAGCTTGGGGGCTCTGCAGGAAGCCTGCGCAGGCAGCCTGGCAGCAGCCCGGGAAGGCAGGTTCTGCCCAAGAAAAGAAAAAAGTGGCGAGCCTGATTTTTTTTTTTGTTTTTTTTCCCCTGGAGCCTGCCTGCCTGCCTGAGCTATGTGGGGGCCTGGTGCTTCCCTCCATAGCTGCAGTGCCCCCCGGGACCACCTGAGCCAGGTGCCTGCAGGCAGGTGCTGCCTGGAGGGGGGGCACCACTGCTGTGGAGGGAAGGACCAGCCCCCACCCAGCCCCGGGCCCACTCCGCTTCACCTGCCGCGCCCCCCCCCCCCCCCACCGCCAGAGAGGCAGGTAAGTACATGGAGATTAGCATGACATGGGAGTTTACTTGGCCCTAAATTGAAGCAGTGTTTTTAAAAATCCACTGCTTCAATTTAGGGGCCCCGTTTTGTCTATATACACCCTAATACATGCTATTAAGTTATGAACTGGATTAAAGTATTTTGAGAATACTTTTCATATTGCAATGAATCCATGGGACTCTTGTGTATCCTCTGCATATTTCACACAGCCATTCCTTACCTGACTTATTGGGTGGGAAGCTTGATCATGCTGTAGTTGATGAACAGAATACAGCGGGAGGAGCAGGGAAGCAAGCTATGAATGGACAGGCCTTTTCTTCCTGTTGGTCCATCACATACCAGCTTCCTCAAATAACTTAAACATGTGTCCAGATGTTTCAGACCTCTTTTCCCCTAAAATGCAAAAGTTCCTGGCTAGAGAGTCTTGCCCCTCCACTCAGGCTCAGACTCATCACCACATTTGAGATCACTTAGAAATTTTACTCCACAGTCAGATTGGTACAGACTGTCGGGGTGGGGAGAGGCGTTTGCCTTTCTTTATAGTAGTGGGTATGGCCCTCTTCCTTGGATCTCCTAAGCATATTTTAATACCCGCTGGCAGCAGCAGAACACTGGCTGCTGTTGTCCCCCTGCTTTACATGTGGCAAGTTAGGGTTCCATGCCTTATAGATATGCAACAGGGTTGACTGTGTAGTTTTAGTAATAGGTTAAATGAGGATTTGTATGGGATGGCTTAAATAAGGATGATCCTGCCTCAACCAGAGGGTTTGACAGGTTGACCATAGGGAAATCTGGGGCATCTAGGACACTGCCTGCTCTCCCACATTAGTGGCACTGCTAGAGGCAGAGGCAGAGTGGTGTGGTGCACCAGGCAGGCAGGTGGCTGTGCAGTGGTACCTGCCTGCCTACCTGGTGCACCACTCTGCCCCCTTGCCAGACTGCACCCCATGCCCTTGCATTTTAACTCTCACCAGCCAGCTGGGACTGGCCTTTGAAATCCAGGACTTTTCTGGCTAAACTGGGACATATGGTCATCCTAGGACCAGTATGTCACAGTGTGCAATGCTGTGGGAGTCAACAGGTTCACATGCCTGAGTGGCAAGGTATAGTGGAGGAGCTTGTGGCTGGGAAGCTAAGGGTGAATCAGGACAACTGGGCGCATGGTACAGTGGTGGGGGGGGGAGGACAGGGAAGCAGCAGTATGAGAGTCGTACAGTGTAGGTATACAGTGCCCAGATATACAGTGTAGTGCAGCCTGAGTATACATACATAATTTGGAAACTCAAATTTAGAAACAATTTTGAACACAAAAGTAAAAAATGAACATTTAATATTATGTTTTACCTAAAATATATCATTATAATTTATATTTAGTTTTATCCATATTTAAAAAGCCGGAGCCTGAATTGATTCAACTTTTGCAGGTTAGTCTAACTTCCTAGGCTGAAACCGGTTTGTAACAGGACAAATATTCACTCTGGTCTGAGGCAATGCAGGCACATGCCTGCAGTTACCCAGGCCAGGAGCCGGGGGTGCAAGGGCAGGCCCTTGGCTGCAGGGAAGCTATAGGGGGAGGCATGGCCAGTCCTAGCTGAATTGGCCAGGGAGGGGTTTAATTCCCCCTCTTTATCCAACCAGCAGGGACCTGAGCTGGGTCTGCCGGGTGCCCCACCCCCCTCGCTGCTGCAGCAGCAGGCACCATAGCCCCTGAGGCAGAGCGGGGCAGGGAGGAGAGTTAGTCTCCTCTCTACCAAGCCAGGTCTGCGTACCCTCACTGCCGTACTCCCTTCCCCCTCCCAGGGGTCCTGCTTGACTGTGCCCCCACCTCGCCACTGCAGCAGGAGGAGGCAGGGCCCTTACTGGTGGCAGCAGCCCCTGTTATAATGTGGGGGTGTGAGCCCCTTCCCAGCGGGTGCATTGCACTGCAGAGATGGCAGAGCTGT